CCTCCTCCTCCCTCCCCGCACTGTTCACTCCTGATCGTCTTGTTTGCCCCGTGCAACACCAGTGTCGTCCTCCTCCCTCCAAGTCTCCTCATAGCTTTTTCTTTTCCCCCCTCTCCTTGAAACCATCCACAAAGTTCTTGACTTTCATCTCACGTCTTGCTGCCTTGTCTCTCCTTTGCTAGTCTTGTCGTTAATTGCAGCCTCCTCAACTTTTGTTTCCTTGACATCGCTCTCTCTTCCTTTCCCATCCTTTATCCCTTCCCTTGTCGCCCGCATGGTCCTATCAATCTGCTCTGCTAGTATGAGTGTCTGTTGTAAGCCCCTCACTCAACCCACCAATCAACCCGCACAAACATGGTTGCTTGCTAATGCAGCTGTGGTTCCCTGCGAGGCTATTCGTAATCAGCCCCTCACACATCCAAGCTTTTCTCGCCCTCATCATCTCCACCTCCCTCATCTCTTCACGTGAGCAGTTTCGCTGCTCTGCTAACTCGAGCTTGTCAGTCATGGATGCAGCAGTATCATGAGAAGTACAACAAGGTGAGCTTACAGCTTCGAGCTCCCATGACTTGATCATCCTTCTTGCTCCCATAACTTGTGTCATGCAGGGCGACCGATGGGAGCCTCTCCTTCACGCCGGTCTCTTCGTCTGGGGCATTGGCTACCTTAACGACTACTTCGCTCACTTGCGTAAGAACTTCCCACCGCTAACGAGCTAACCACTGCTGTTTGTGATGTGATCAACGAATAGTTACTTCTCCTGCTGCTCACATGCTGCCCCTTGCTGTCTCTGGTTGTTGTTCTTGCCTCCTCCCCTGTCTTGTTGATTCGGTTGGATGAGCGAGCAGTGTGGCTTATGTGCTACAAGTCGCTGCTGACTGCGATCGCATCTACTTAGAGCACCTCAAGAAGAACAAGGGTGGCCCCGAGATAGTTTGGGCTGAGTGATCGGCGAAGAGCAGCAGCAGCAGAGCAGCAGCAGCAGCAGTGGTACTGACGGACGTGTTGATCCCCAGGCCACGAGAAGAACTACAAGTATCACTGAAGGAGCTGGAGGATCAGCGTCTGCTCCAGCTGGACATCCCGCGCGAGAGCATGCTGCTATACGGTTGTGATCCTTACTCCCCTCTCATATGAAGCTTCGATGACATGCCTGGCCTCTGCGTCTCTCCCCACCCCTTCCTCCTCCGGTCGCGAATTTCTTGTTTCGCTTCACTTGCATCTACACATACTCGTACACTCCTCGCTGCTCCTCCCCCGCCTCCTCATACCGTTTGATTCATCGGACCCAACAGCTCCTCGAGAGCTGCGTAGTTCACCTACACACCAAGTCAAGGACACCCGTCACAACCCACCCCTCCTCCCTCCCCTCTACCCCCTCCCTTCCTCCTCCCTACCCCCCTCCCTTTCTCCCTCCGCCTCTGGACGCAACCTTGTCCGACAAGTTCTTGTTCTTGAGCATCTTCGCCGTAGCCTGTCAACACCTTGATGTCACCATCTCCTGATCTTGTCACTCATCCTCCCTCCTCGCTCTCTTCCCCTCCCTCCCCTCCTCCTCCCCTCCCCTCCCCTCCCCTCCCCTCCTCTCCCTCCCTCCCTCCCTCCCTCCCTCTCTTCTGCTCACCTCAGCAGCTGTCGAGCCAACAAACTCTTCCTCTGCTTTTCTTTTTCTCCTCTGCGACCCAGTCGGAATCCCTCGGATCTGTCAACCAGTCACTTACAGTTGCAAATAAGGGAAAGAGGACGAGGAAAAGGGGAGGAGGAGGATGATGAGGAGGAGGAGGCAATAGACCCTGTCCAGGACAAGGACAAGGACAAGGAAGAAGGACAAGCAGGGACCTCTGCTAGCTTCTGCCTCTCCGCCTGCTGCTCGAGATATTCTCGGTTCATCTCATCCCACACGATCGTCCTGTGCGCAACTTCCTCCGGCGTCCTCAGGCAAGCATCTGAATCAAGAAGTCAGCTCCTCTCCTCCCACTATCCCCTCCATCGTCCCCCTCCCCTTCGACTTCCTCTTCCACCGCACCCCTGTCCCATCCTCCTCCTCCAATGTTACTGATTTCATCGTCGTCAACTTCACTCAGATTCTCAGATTCGTCCTCCTGCTCCTCGTCCACCCTGACGCTCGGTATCGCCTGCCTCCCTTCCTCTCCCTCCCTTCGCGGGCTCTCAGCCGGAGAAAGTCGAACAGGAGGAGAAGCCCCAGTCACTCTGCCGTCCCCTCCTGCTCCTCCCGCCTTCTGCTGCGGCGTCTCGCTCCCTCCTCTCGCTGTCATGAAGTCGCAGGTCAGTGCGCTGGCTGGTTCTCTGTCCAGCTCCTGCAGCTCCGCAGACTCTGCGAGAGCGCGTTCCGCCTGAAGCACAATCAGCACGAAGATGAGGGGAACAGGCGAGGGGGGAGGGGGGGGTCGACATTAGAGACAGGAAGAGGGTAGAAGGGAAGGAGAGGGGAGGAGAGAGGGGAGGGGGGATCAATGAAGGCGTCACAAGCGGAAGGCAACTGGAATATGAAGTTGCTTCACCTGGTCCTGTAGCCCTTCCATGGAGAACTCCGACACAGACTGCGAGCGGGAGGAGGGAGAGGAGGAGATTTTCTTCTTCTTGGTTTGGTTCTTCATGGAGGGAGGCGCGCATTTGCTATCCCACCACCACTTGCTTTCCTCCTCCTTGTACTTCTCGTCGTCCACGAAGTCGGTGGCACTGCCGGCCTTGAACAGCGAGTTGAACTCACTGACCGTCAGGTCGGACGCGCCAGTCTCGTCGAACTCGCTCAGTCGCTTCTTGAGGGTCCCGTCGCAGATCCGCACGACCTGAGCGATCTGAGTCTCCGTCCTGTTGAACCCGTGCATCTTCGCCGCGATGATCAGCCCGGCCCCGCAGATCCCCGCGGGCCTCCTCCCAGTGATCATCCACTCCCGGTTCATCCTCGCCACGATCCGAAGCGCCGTGTGCGCGACCTGGTGGGTCTTCTCCTCGAACTCGAGCATGGAGGCGAAGCGGCGGATGTAGAGGGAGGGGTCGATAGGGTCCAGCTTGATGTGAAGCTCCTTGCAGAACTTGAGGAAGACGTTGCCGAGGTCGTACACGTCGATCTGAAGGACCTCAGCGAAGTCGATGAGCATGTGCGACGTCTTGAGTCGCCGGCAGACGATGTAGAGGCACGCGGCCACCACGCTGTTGGTTCGCCTCCCCTGGATGAAGTTCTTCTGCACCGCCTGCTGGAAGAACCGATGAGCCACCTCTACGTGGTTGCTCGCCAGTCGCAGGCAGCCCGCGATGTGCTGGATGATCCGCTTGCCGTTGGCCAGCGTCACCTCGCGCGACTCCTTGGAGAAGCCGCCGTAGCCCGGCGCTCCTCGGAACCCCGACAAGCCATGCTCGGGCACAAACTGACCCACTACCGACGACTGTCCTCCCGCGTTCTCGCTGAACTGAACCTCAGAGACGATGGCGCACTCCTCAAGCACGTGACCGCAGTTAGTGCAAACAGCCTCTCCTCGCGCACCATCCGTCTCGATGTTGGTAGACTGACACTTGGGGCAGCTCTTGGACATGTTTAGCTTGCCCGTTGACTCCTCTAAACTCACGAGTTCGCCTGTTGAAACGTCAAACTCTTCTCTCTCAGCTGTTTCAAATCCCCGCTACCCTCCCTCCCCTCTTCTTTGCTGACTGTCTTGCCTCTACTCTGTCCCCCTTCTGCATTCATCCCTCCTTCCTCCATTTTTCTCATTCAACGTACTTATGCGTCTCTCTTCTTCTACACTCGTCTTCTACATCACAACTCATCATGTACTCATTCATTGGAGGCAGAGCCAAACTTCACATACATCAGCTACATATTCTTGATTCCTTGTGACCTTCTGTATCCTTGCTGGTCTGTACGTGTCATGTTGCCGTTCTTTCTATTCTCGTCATCTCCTTCATCACCTCAGGTATCATCATCGCCTACATCATCTCCATCATCCTCAATCCCTTCTCCCTCCCTCCCTCCCTCGAAAAGAAGGGGACGAGGACGGAAAAGAAGAGGATGAGGAGGGGGGGGAGGAGGAGGAGGGAGGGAGAGGAGGAGGTGGTGGTTGTAGGGAGGAGAGGAAGGGAATACAGGCGAAAGGAACGGGAACGTAGCAGAAATCAAGATTTGTACGATCAGGGGATCGCAAGATTGCGACTAGGGGACGGAGGTGGGTCGGGTCAAGGGGAAAGCATGTGTCTATGACATGGGTCTCCAACAGACCTGCTCGACTTGTCGGAACTATG